AGGTGTCAGATTGCCTCCCCTCCAACTTGAGGGAGTGTATTAGGTAGTTGGTGGCTCCTACATGTCCAAGAATGATTTACACATGTGTTTATTTACTTGGGTCGGTTATTGATATGCAAATTACAACTAGAATCTTTGTACTCTATAACTATAAATAAGGCATTCCAATGCACTAATATATGATTTTTCTTTTTTGCCCACTCTAATTTTATATTAGTCCTCTGCAACACCGGTGACTCTATTCTTCAGATTGCAAGAAGATGACTATTAGATCTAAGACAGGTAGAAACATAGACATCGAAACTGCAGACTACTCTTATCCTATGTCTCCATACTATCTCGACACCTTAGACAATCTTGGCATCGTGCTAGTCAATGGTCACCACTCCTCTGAATGGTGACAATTATTCGACTTGGAAATCCTTGCACAACCTTGAAATCAAAACAGAGAAAACAAGCAGAGCTTTTTGTTTGGAAAAAATGCAATTCAATGGTCATATCATGGATTTGCAATGCCTTGGCCAAAGAATTACATGGCAATGTGCCTACATGGATGAGGCTCGTGCAATCGGGTTAGATCTGGAAGAGAGATTTTCACAGGAAAATGCACCTCGTGTCTTTCATTTGAAACAGGAATTGGAATGGAGCCTCTTCCATCTGTAAGCAAGGTATATGTCTTAATTACACAAGAAGAGAAACACCAATTAGTTGTTAAACAACGGACTCCAACAATTGAAGCAACAGCCTTTCATGTAACTGATCAGGACAAAGGTGGTTCCAAGAACGCCAAAGATCAACCAAAACTCCATTGTGATCACTGCAAAAAGATAGGACACAACAAGGATTGCTACTACAAACTCGGTTATCCTCCAAGTCAGGATGCGAAAGGAAGATCTGGCATAAACAAAAGCATTTCTCAAGAAAAGAATAATGCCAACACTTCAAAGTCAAGCTCACAAGCTTCAATTGCCTCTGGCTCTTCTTCAATAGCTAGCCTCATAATGTAGTAGTACCAGCAACTTTTAAATCTTCTCAAATCTAATAATCTAGTGATTTCCTCAATTTTTTTCCAGTAAGGCCTCTATCTTACATTGGCCATTAGACTCAGGACCTTGGTTTGGACAATTCTGTGTCAGAACATATCGCACCCTCTACCATGAGTCCAAACACTTACACACTTCCTCCACCCAACAAGCCAATTCACTTGCCAAATGGCTTTGTAATGCTAATACAATTACAAGCTGATTTGGCACTATCCCTCTGATTTGTTCATACGAGACGTTCTATTTGTGCCAAAATTCAAATGCAAATTATTATCCATTAACAAAATAACTTCTTAACTTAATTGTGTTGTCTTGTTCTTTTTGAGTTTCTGCGAGATACATGACATGAGCTCTAAGAAGGTGATTGGGCTTGACCTAATGCATGATGATCTATATCATCCTCTACTTGCTTCACCATCCTTGGCTCTTCACACAGTACATGATGCTGACTCCAAATTGTGGCATCCAAAACTTGGGCATGTTTCTTATCATAATCTTGCATTGATTCCTGATTTACATATCACTGCACCTAATAATTCTTGTTGTGGCATTTGCATGAAAGCAAGACAGGTTCAACTCTGTTTTCCCATTGGTAAGACACATGCTGCTAAATGGTTTCTAAATGCTTTGACTTAATGCATATAGATATCTGGGGTGGATATCGTACTCCTTCACTTATAGGGCATGATATTTCCTTACTATTGTAGATACATATGTTCTTTGCTATGGTTCAAACTCAATTTAACACAGAAGTTGTGTCTGATCCGACAATGGGTTGGAACTTTTGTCCGGGCCCATGCAGACATACTTTGTGAGAATGGTATAATCCACCAGCATTCTTGTGTTAAAACTCCACAACAAAACGGAGTGGTGAAATGAAAGCACTGTCATCTTCTTGAGATGGATAGAGCCCTATGATTCCAAGCAAGTTTACTAGTTCAGTTTTAGAGGTAATGTGTTCTTACAGTAGCATATTTGGTCAATTACTTACCCACTCCTAACCTTTCCAATAAAACCCAGTATGAGATGTTTCAAAGGCCACCTTTTTATGATCATCTTCACACATTTGGCTATCTTTGTTATGCTACAACAGAAAAATGTGGTAGGGATAAATTTAGTCCACATTCACAACAATGCATGTTCATTAGATACCCTCATGGCCAGAAGGGTTATCATGTTTCCAATCTTGACACAACAAATATTAGTCTCTCAAGATGTGGTATTTTGTGAAGATCAATTTCCGTTCAAGCTTGTTGATCACTCCCTTAATGCTGATGCTTTTTCTATAGTGGTGGTTCTACTTCCAATCACAAATGATGCTCTCTCCATTGGAAACAACCAATAGCAATGATGCTTGTGTAGCAACTATTGATTCCAATATGGACTTGTCTCAAAGCCAACAACTTCATCAAAATGTTGATACAAGCTTCATCTCATCACAAGAATTGTATATTGATTCCACAAATCATAATGATGTAGAGCTGCCACAATCACAACAAAATGATGGACTTATTGGGTCCATTCACATCATTGAGAATGTCCAATCCAATTCTAGACCCACTAGAATACGTCGTGCACCCACCAAACTGGATGACTTTATTTGCTCCACCATTAAACATGGTTCACAAGGTACTAGGGGTGGCCACGAGCCGAGCTTTTCATGAGTTATTTGAGCTCGGCTCATGAAGTGCTCGGCTTGGCTTGGTTTAAACAGAACTTTAAATCGAGCTCGAGCCCGATATATAGGCTCATTTGTTAATCGAGCCTAGTATAATAAATAAATATTATATACACACACGTACACGCGTACATACATATACATATACATATATAATATTTTTATTTTTTGTGTATAATAGTAAATAATTTTTATAATTCTTATTTTTTGTATGTAAAATAAAAAAAAATATTTTTATATGTATAATTTTTACTTTTTAGAAAAAGCTTGGCAACAGTCGAGATTGAGGTAAAGTCACTAGCTTGAATTGAGCTCGAGCCTAACATTATTTCAACGAGCCGAGCTCGAATAGCTAAGTATTCGGCTCGGCTTGGCTCAAATCCATCCCTACAAAGTACCAACTTTGCATGTAGTACAAGTCATCCAATTTGCAACTATCTTACTAGTTCTAATTTGGACTCTACTTCGCATATCCTACCTCCTAAACCCACTACTAGTCTCTAATAAGTCTTTCTCTTGGAAAAAAGCCCATTGGTTTTAAATGAATCTACAAGATTAAACTAATCATGATGGTAGTATAGAGCACTATAAAGTGTGTCTTATTGCCAAGAGTTACACTCAGATAGAGGGTGTGAACTACACCGAGACCTATGCACCTGTTGCTAAACTCATCACTATTCATTTCTTATTGGCTTTAGTAGCTGCATGGGATTGACATTTGCATCATATGGATATAAACAATGCTTTCCTTCATGGTATTTTCCATGAAGTTTATATGCGGCTTCCTTCCTATAGGTGATAACCATGTTTGTAAACTGAACAAGTCAATCTATGGGTTCATGCAAGCATCACAAAATTGGTTTGAGGCTCTAACTCATTCACTTAAGTAAATAGGGCTTTCTCAATCTTCTACAAATCATACTCTCTTCAATCTTCACAAGTTCGGAGGCACTCCTATTGTGTTAGCTTGTGTGGATGATTTAATCATAGCTAGGAATGATTCAGTCAGTATTGATTCACTTAAACAATACCTCAATCATTGCTTTCCCATCAAGGACTTGGGCCCACTCCAATATTTTTTGGGCATTGAGATGCCTCGATCTCCTTCTAGCATCTTCCTAAGCCAGTATAAATACACATTCAACATTCTCAAAGAGACGGGCATGCTCAGGCGCCGTCCAAGTTCTTTTCCTATGGAGCAACAACATAATCTTGGCCAAGATTTTGGCCCACCTATAACACAACAAAATCAATATAGACACTTAATTGGGCACCTAACATATTTAACCATCGCCAGACTAAAAGTCACCTATACAGTGCACATTCTCAGTCAATTCATGAGTGATCAACGATGACACTTGAATGCAGCTATGCATATTCTATGGTATCTCAAGTTATCACTTGATCATGGGGTGTTTTTCTCTTCTAAATCTGATATTCTCATACAAGGATATTGTGACTCAGATTGGGCAAGCTATCCATCCACAAGACGCTCAACAATTAGTTACTTTACTACTTTGGGTTCCTCCCCTTTGTCATGGAAATTCATGAAATATGCGACTGCCCTTGCTCTTCTGCTGAAGCTGGATGCAGATTAATAGCGGCAACAAATGACTTTCTTTGGCTTAAATGTTTATTTGCTGATCTTGGACTACAACATCCACAACCCATGCAGCTCTTGTGTGACAACTAGGCTAAATTGCATATTACCGCCAACCCAGTTTTTCACAAACGGGCAAAGCACATGGAGATTAATTGTCACTTTGTCCACTCTCAGCTTCAAGCTCATACCATTACCACAAATCGCATTGCCTCCAAGCTGATTTGTTCTCCAGCTGCCATCTACCCTGAATCTTGAAATCTTGATCTTGATCTCTGCAACAATAAAATTAAATATGACTCCTTTACCACCGAAATTTGATATCATTCATGAATGCTACTTCAATCTGAACACCATTTCGTTAGACTCATTTTGTCTTTTGATTGCTTACAAGATATGTTCCATTTTTTTGATAAGTTTCAGGCCATGTTAGAAGAGCACTTAATTATGAATCCAAATCTGCTACCCATAAGACGCTACCTACACAGCTTCCAATATGATCTACATCCCGCTCATCTCAAAAGTAAACAGTACGAAGTATGTTTGAGACGCCCGGCTGTAGATCACGTTGGAAGCTGTGTGGGTAACGTCTGGTGGGTAGCAGATGTCTACATTCGACAACCCGTGCTGTCCGTAGGGTTCCTGTGTGAAACTTAGTTCATATGGACTCCATGCAACATAACCTAGAAGTCATTTTGTTGGCAATTTCTGAAGACAACATTAGCATATCAAAATTTATGGAGACTAAAAGATAACAAACAGAACAAGAAGTGTCTTCCTGAGCACTCATCATTCATCCTAAAATTCCTCAAGTATTCACTGCAAGTACAAGAGCCAAAACCATGGCCGATATGATTATCATTTTCTCTTTTCACCTTCTGTGGGCAACAATTATAATAACTGATGCTGTCAAAGAAGATTAATCAGTGGTACCCATCATCCATTTTTATCTCATTCTATGATCTTCTGCCTTCTTTGGTTTTCTAGGCGTGACGAAAGTTGAGAACATTTTCTTTTGGCTTCCTCCAAATCCCTCTCTAGTTGTTCAATCTGTTTGTCCAGCAAAAAGAAAACATTGTCACAAATTACCAGAATCCTTGCTTTTCATAAGGAAAGTTGATAAAATTGCAAACCAAATATGAGAACAGGCTTGCAGATATATATATAACTAACATACCGTCTGTTTCAAACTATTCTCCTTCTGTATGTACTCCTCACATCTGTACAGAAGGACAGAATGACATGTTAATGTTAAGAATACAAAAATGAGATATAATAACAAACTAGATTATGACAAGTTCCGTACATCCAGACAGGACTTTTGCTCAATTTATAGTGAAAAAAGTTGCAGATTCACCATTAAACCAAAGGCTCGATAAGTATAAAAATAGTTCCTGGCAATGACTACAATCATGAAATTTACAGTTGGATGAATTCTAACCAGTACAATCCACCGAGTAAAAGGTCAAGTGGATACAAACTATCATGCAAGCAATATCTATATTACCAATCTGGACTATCAAATTGATGTTCCATGTCAAACAAGTATCATATCTTAAATATGACATCTATCACAAGCTTCTACAGTATTACCTTTTGCTAGCACCATATTCTAGCCATCATTTCTATCACCTCACCCTAGTCATCCAATTAGTTCCTTGATCATGCACAATCAATTTCCTTTGGTTCGGGTGGACAACACCAATAAATTGGCCTTTAGTAGTTAGCTGTGGGTTAATCAAGTGGAAAATCCTCACCTAGGTGATCCTTATCATCCACAGTGAAAAGCTTGCATGGGTACGCTTTTGAAGCTAATGACAATTCAAGAATTGACACATTTGCTAAAAGATTCGAACTGAAGGTGCACAAATCAACTGGATGCTTACTATCAAAATTTCACCTATTTTTCCTTTTAAACTAATGCAGCAACTTGACAAGATGTCCATCATCTGGGTTTGTTCAGCAACGTGCCATTTTCAGAGTTTTTGGAAATTTATTGCAAACCACCTTAGAAAATTTTGCCTTTCCACTTTCTATTTGTCTTGTTCATTTTTTCTGGGAAGGGACTACTGGAGAAGAAATATTGGGATTATCTGAACAGTCAACATGACCATTTAAGTTTCATACGGGCCTTGGGTAGATAAAATAAAAAGATATGATATACTTGGCCAATAATGTCAGAAGCCACTGTAGTGCTTTAAAAATCAACTTAAAATTTTTGTTGTGTTTCTTCTGTTTTTTCTTTTTTCTTTTTGGAGCAATGGCTTTTTTGTACTTTCACTTTGTTCTGTGGGTAGTTCAGCCACCTCCTACCAAGGTGCAGATATCTTTTATTTTTTTTTTTGATGGATCTACCAAGGTGCAGGTATCAGCAACCAGTTTTCTCCAATGATGATACCTTTCTTTAAAAATACACCTGTTTCTTTTTCTTCATATACACCAACAAAAAGCAAATGGAAGGAGCCCAGAGAGCTAAGGAGATGAATATAAGAAAGCTCATAATTGAATGGGACTCGGAGGTGGTGGTAGGGTGGCTGAACAAAGACAACAGTGGATTATGGAATTACAGTAATATGAGGAGGAAATTTAGGTGGATGGTTCGAGAGATGGAAGTTAAGATCAGTTGGGTGAAAAGATCTGCGAACTCTTTTGCTGATGGGTTAGCTAAACAAGGGGTGGAGAGGGAGTCAAATGTTTTGGGCTCAGGTGTAAAATTTTTTTATATTTTTCTTTTCTCCTTTCTTGGGGGCTCGAGTTTCAGTTGAAAGATAAGAAAGTTTATCTTCCCCTTTGTAATTTTTTCTGTGATTAATTAATGAAATGCGTTATTGATCAAAAAGAAAGAGCAAATGGAATGATGCCTTCATATTATCACAACTATCTTATCACTCCCTAAAATATTTCCTGTATTTCCAGATGGAACTTCCAAAAATAGTGAATAAAGAAATATAAGTCTGAACAACAGCAGTGTAAAAATCACTATGCTCTCCTCCAGCTCCAAGCACAAAATACACCTGCTTGGCATCGGAAAACCTCTTGATTTCAGGTTTTCAACCATTCAATGCCATCCAAAGCATGAAGCCATGCAAAAGCTTCAACCTGAGGAGGAATTGGATTACCCTAAACTCTACTATGAACTATGGATGTGTCAACCTAATTTCTGAAAACAGCTTCATAAAAGAATTTAACAAAACATTTTCCATCTAGAAACAGCTTCCACCATCTTCCTTCCCCTCCCCCCTCACTCCCAGAGGAAATCTCTTCACATTTTTCCCAATTTAATCTGCAAACTGGTTTCCTGGTTGGTACTTAATAGGATTGACAGATTATAAACAGGTAATCTAGCAAGAGAACTCTTAATAAGATTGATCCTGCCACCGGAAGATAAATATCTACATATTTAAGCTGCCAGCCTCTTCTCTAATCTATCTATGAGTGATTGGCAAGTTGAAAGTGATAAAGCCTTATAACCAATAGGAAAACCCAAATAGGATTGGCAACCACCAGCACAATCTTCAAGAAATTCACCATCTAAATCTCCAACTCCAATCATCACCCTTTCATGTAAATTCACCTTCAAACCAGAAATTCCTTTAAAATCCTTTAGAATTACTCTTAAATAAAGTGCTTGCTCCACTGAAGCATGTTGAATAATCGAAGTGTTGTCTGCATATTCTAGATGTGTTATTGACATTCCATCTCCCTCAACTTCAAAACTTCTGATGAATTTTTGCTTTCCACCCAATTTCAACATTTGCACTTGAATCTCTGCTACCAACATAAATAGAAAAATGGAGATAAGTGATTCCCTTGTCTAATTCCTAGTGATGTTTGAAAAAACTCTGTAGATGAATCATTGACCAGTACAGCACTACTAGGGATGCAAGCCGGGCCGGATTAGGTTGGGTTGAGGTAAACCCTGTCCCAACTCAAGCTGTGGAACCCCCGACCTGAAATTATCGAGTTGGGCTCCAGTTGGGTTTGGGTTGGCCAAACTACTCTAATTTTGCCAAATGTTGTTATTTCCTAAACACAAGGCTTGAGTTCAATTAACTCTTAGCATTATGATATGTAAAAGAACATAGTTATCATGCTTCCGAAAATCATTGCCTTCAAACTTAAAATTGTTGACATATGTACATGCATACATATAGATAAATACATACTACGTACATAAATACATACACACACCCATGATGCATTTGCACATGTACATAAAAATGTTTATATAATATTTATACATGGAAAATATTAGGCAAAGTAGGGTTTAGGTTTGGGTTATTGGGTTGGCAAAGGCCCTCAACCCTAACCCATCCCAAAGTTAAGTTAGGTTCACACTTTTCAACCCTAACCCTAATCCAAACTTCAACCTAACCCAACTCTTTTGGGTTGGATTCAGGCTAACCCAGCCCATGTTGCAGCCCTAACCAATATAGAGAAAGACGATGATTAAATGCAAGAGAAAGAAAAAAAACCACTCCATTTTCACCAAACCCCATAATCCTCATCAGATTATTCAAAACATCCTATTCCACATTCTCATATGCCTTTTCAATATCTATTTTACAAATCAGGCCTGAAACATTGCTTCTTAGCTTTGTGTCCACACACATACTAGCAATCAATACTCTATCAAAAGTTCATCACCCTCCTACAAATGCCATTTGAGTAAGACCAACCATGTTTTGTGCATTATGTATTAGAGCCTCTTGATAGCACTAAAATCAGAAAAGAGGTACAAGTGAATACCAAGGAGAGAGGTAAATTCTCTTAGCTCTCCCCTTGGGGAATATCACTAATTACACTCATTACAACAAATCCCACAAAAGTTTATCTCTTCCCACCCCTTGTTTTGCTAAAGCATCAATAAAAGAATTTAACATTTCTCTTCACCCACTGAAACTAACTTCCATCCCTCATCTCACCCACTTAAACCCTCTTTTTCTTATATAGCTCCACCAGCCAGCCTCCTTTCGCAGCCATCCCATCACTAACTTTGGATTACCTTCAATGATTAACCTCCTAATGTTCAATTCCTTTGCTCTTTACCACTTTCCATTGCAGCCATGATTTCATCGCTTAACAAATCCCAAGACCAAATGGACCTGAATAGAAAGCAATGATTCTTCCTCATTTCAAAACACACCTCCAATGTTTGAAGGACCCAGGTTCCCTTCACTACTACCATTGAAGTTCAGCTTGATGAACCACAAGTAGACAGGGATCAAGAAGGTTTAATGACTTATTTAGAAGGTGCAGAACCAGCCACTTCTTTCCACTTTCTGAGCAAATCAACTGTAGCAATGTCCCCAAAACATTTCAAGGACTTCACCCAATGGAAGAAACTGGTAATGGTTTCAATGAGTGCTTCTCTACTTCTCTCCTTATCTGACTTTGATTCCTTTCTTCCAAAACTATCCAGCAAACAGCTGTTCTTGGGCACCTCTACAAAATTTTTCCTTTTGAGATCAATAAGTGATAGCAAGTCTTACCATTAACCTTACAGAGAATGCACCAACGAGGGGAAAAGACACCAATTTTGTCTCCTTCTTTGGAGTAAACCATAAGTGTTAATTCTTTCTAAGAGAGCTTCCCAACATATGCCACCAACCCTAGGAGGAATTGGCTTGCTCCAAACCTCCATAACCGGGAAAGGTAACCCAACACTATCAAAGGGTTGGGTTAAAGCAGAAAAGAAGCACAAGAGAAGGACCCAGGGCAAGAAAGAATCCAAATCCGGCTATCCAGCTTAGAGGGGTCCAAGAAAACCCCTTCTAGAAGTTGAAGTAAGGCCAAGGCACTATTTATTCAGAGTCTCTGAGATCCCTCCTTAAAGCCCAAATTCCAGTCAAACCAAGAGATTGAGATAGAAGGAACCAAGAATGAAGAAACAGGCTTATCTAAGGCTGGAGAGGTTAAACAAGGTTGGAAATTGTTCCTTCAAGGGTGAGCTACCCAACGAAAGATGTTCTCAGAATTTAACCAAATTTCCAAACACAAATTGTACCTGATAAATGGTAAAAAATTGGGTAGGATGGTATGGATGGATTTCCAAGGTGAAGTTCTTATTTCATTAGCCAACACTCCAGCATCCCAACCATGAACAACAAGCCCATGAATGCTTAGAATCACCTTCTCCCAAATTGTTCCTTCAAGCCTACGAATGCTGTAACACCTTAGCAATTATCTTATAAGGGCTAGAAACAAGATTAATAGGACA